ATACTATAAGTAATTATCAGCTATTCATCATGCTCATTTCTCTTTGCCTGAAGTGTCTACCCTGCCCCTTTTCAATCTGCTAAGCCATGTGGTTCTTCTTTAAGACTCTGAGTCAAAACTTCTCTCTTCTTACAGGCTTTCTCTCATTCTTGCCCTCTTCACCACCCCTTAACCAATGGCTCCATCCCCTGCCCAACTCTTATACCTTGTTCTTACTTCATACTTGGTATTCATTCAGCCTTATATTAATCTCATCATTCCTAGACTTAAAGATCTGTAACTTTAGCAGTGTGGGTACTCTTTTCACTATGCAGATAGCAACTCTTCCATGCCTCAGTAGGTATATCATGAGTTGCTATAACCACAAAAAATGTCATTAGCTGTAGCCTAGGCTTCAGGTGATGAGCCTCTTTGAATTTAGCTAAGCTGGTCCTTGGGCAGCAGACACAAGAGTCCATCCCCAGGCTCAGACTTAGGTTCCATTGGCATCTGTCATCTCCTCTGTACTAAGTTACCAGTTAGTTCATGCTCTCATCATCTCTTATTTAGATTATTGCAATGGCATCCTGATTTTTCTCCCCTATCTCAATTCTCTCCCGATCCATTTCTTTGTCTTCATAGCTGCCAGTGATATATCTAAACTCCATTGTCTCCCTGTTGCCTTGAGGATTCAAATATAAGTTCCTCTAGTTTTTAGAGTGCTTCACAGCCTGGCCTGAACCTACCTTTCCAATCTTTACATCACTCCCTTTCTTACAGTCTATTGTCTAGTTAAACTGGCCTTCTTGTTATTCAAACATGATACCACATCTCCCATCTCCACATCTTTGTACTAGCTATTCTTCATGTTTGAAATGCACTCTTCCTTCATTTCTGCCTCTTAGAATCCCTTTTGTCTTTCAAAACTCACTCAAGTGATATTTTCCACATGAAACATTGCCTGATCTCTCTCGGTGCTAGTGTCCACCTTCCCCCCCCAACAAAAAAAATCACTTTGTGTTTATTTTGTATATTTCTTGTATGTATATGTTACTTAGTAGAATGAATGTAAGCTCCTTGAGGGCAGGGAATGTTTCATTTTTCTCTTTGCATCCCTATCCCTTAATACAGTGCCTGATACATTGTAGGCACTTAAATGTTTGTTGATTTGCTTATTGATTGGCCCCAAGAATCTCTGTATTCACACAGACCACATATCTCTAAGGCTTTTCAGTAATCATACTCTTTAGTCTTCTAACTGTAGGCACTTAAAAAAAAAAAAACGAACAAACAACTTAGGCACTCCCTCACCCAGGGTTTCCACTAGGAACTTCAAAATTTGGCTCATTATCAGCAATCCCCTAGTGATGTTCACTCGACTCCTGCCAGTAACAGAGGATTCAAATACATTTTAACTTAAATCAACTTTATTACAAGACACATGAGAAATGGAAAAAGGAATGATTACGAGTGACACTCCTCATGATGACCCCCCCCCTTCCTCCCCTACAGTCTGGGTCACAGTACACTCAAAAGCTCACATCACTAACTTCACTAAGTGAAGTCCCATTAATCTGCTTTGGTAGGTCTTGAAACAGCTTTAGTAGACTGCCTTTATCAAGAGTTTCCTAGCCCTTACCAACATCTCTTCCTCTCAGGTTGCTTCCTTTCAGACTGGTATTGCAGATCCTGGCCTTTGCTCAAGTGAAAAAAAATTTTTTTTTTTCTCTTTATTGTCCTCACCAAAATCTTCCCCAGAAGTTCCCAGCTAGTCTCAGGGGACCTTAGAAGATAGTCTGGAAGATACTGTCTCCACTCATTGCCACCACCTACAAGTGTTGCTGGGTTCCTTCCTCTCTCCCCTCCCCCAGCCAAAGCTGCCATCATCTCAGAAACTTCTTCTTTGAATAGTTCCTCATTGCTTTTTTGTCCTGGCTCCTCTTTGTGTCCGGGGTTCCCTGCCATAAAAACCTTTCTTCCCCTCTGGTGCTCCATTGCTCCAATACCATTCCTTCTAAGTACTTCTCTATCTCTCTGTCTCTCTCTTTTTCTCTGTTTTCTCTGTATCTGTCTCTCTCCTTTCCCTTCTTTTTTCCCTCCCTCTGCCTTCCCCTTTCTTTCTCTCCCTTTTTCTTCTCTTCTCTTCCTCCTTATCTTTCTGTCTCTTTCCCCTTCCCTCCCACTCTCTCTTTCACTTTCCCCTTTCTTATTTTCTCTCTCTTCCTCCCTTCCTCTTTCCTTCTACCTCTCTTCCCCCTCTCTCTTTTTCTCTCTTTGTCCATCTGTCTCTCTCTTTCTCTTTGTCTATCTGTCTCTGTCTCTGTGTCTGTCTGTCTTTCTAGTCTACATGTAGCTTGGTATTTCCCAGGCTCACACTAACAAGGATAAGTGAGCTGAGCCTTTGGAGAGTGACCACCTCCTGCTTCAAGCTGAGATAGTGGTGGGGTATAACAACCCCAGCCTTCCCTCTTGTTACAGCCTCATCCCAGGCAGTATTGTAAGTCAATGAGGCTGTACTATCTCAGAGGGAGAGTGGTTTTAGTCTATCTTCTCTACATTTTACTCTAGTCTCAAGATACCAGTCCTTTCTGAATCCATTAATTTGTAAATAGAACTGTGATATGTTTTTGAATCTAAGTACTTGTAAGGGGAGCTGGTAGTTACCCACAGACACGTGCACATATTCATGTTCCCAGATTCATCTGGATGAGAACAACAAATTAGAGAATGGAGGTGACTCCAAAGTATATTTGCCTTTTTTCTGTACCATTACAACTTCACATCCACAAGAATTAGGACTGTGCCTCCTTTTTTTTCCTCATTAGAATTATGTGTATTTGTAACATCAGAATTTTATTTCTGGAAGCATCCCATCCTTCTTGAGCCACCCCATCCCATAAATTTTAGGTCAAGACATTTTGTCTATCCTTTCTCTGAATTCTGAAATCTGCTCTCCCAAAGTCTATCCCTCAAGGCTTTTAAGATCATGAGATCTCCAACACATTTCTTTCACACAGATTTGATCTGATCTGGCAGCTCTCCCCATCTTTGCCTTTTTTGGTGCTATTTCATCTTTCTGATACTATACATCAAGGACTAAGGTGTGAGAGTCCAAACATGATAGTTCTGTTATCGTTGACAACGAAAATGATCTGCTACAGAAATGCTAACAGATTTGTTCTGTTTTCTATCAATTTATTATCTTCCTCCTAGTTTCATCTATAAACATTCTTGGAATGATATATCGTGGTTGGATCTCATGCCAAGCTTTCTGCAGACTTGTTTTTCTCCTCCATACTTCTTCACTGCTTTATGAGGCAAAATTACTCATAATCTTCTACCCTCCTCTTCTAAAATGTTTTGAAAATGAGTTTATCTTCTAAACTGGTATTGCCCTTGGCTGTCATGTCTTACCACTTGACAAAGAGATCAAGTAAGCATCTATATAGTGCTTGCTATGTGCCAGACACAGTATTAACCATTTTGATGAATATTGTCTCATTCAATGTGGCTGTTATCCCCATCTTACAGTTGAGGAAACTGAGGCTGACAGAGAGTAAGTGACTTGCCTAGGATCATACAGCTAGGAAGTATGTGAGACCAGATTTAAACTCAGGTCATCCTGATTCCAGATGCAGCTCTCTATCCACTGCACCACCAGATGTTTCCACTTAGCTGAGTTCCCCACGCACCCACCCAGACTCTTGGTTTAATTGTTTTAGCCCTTACTTTATAGTGGTTAAATTTTTGTAGGAAACAGTGAAGATCGATGTTGACATTCTCTTCTTTATTTATTGCACGTTTCCAACGTCAAAATCTTGTTTGAATAGGTCAGGTTGACGCTATCATAATTGCACGTGGCATTTTCTTCTCATCTTGATCTTTCTAGTTTGGCATTAATTTTGACTTTTGCTCTAATTAGTTAATGGAAAGGGACAGGAATAAGCACTGAATAAGCTCCCACTATGTGCTAGGCACTGTGCTAAGTGCTATAATAATAGCTAATGTTTGTATAGTGCTTAAAACGTGCCAGGACAGCTAGGTGGAACGAGTGAAAAGAGTGCCAAGCCCTGGAGACAGGAGGACCTGAGTTCTAATCCAGCCTCAGACATTTACTAGATGTGTGATCCTAAGTCACTTAACCCTGATTGCCTCAGTTTCTGTAAAATGAGCTAGAGAAGGACATGGCAAATTACTCCAGTATCTTAGCCAAGAAAATTCCAAATGGCAGCACAAAAAAGTCCTACATGACTAATGAACAACAATAATATGTTCTAGGCACTATGCTAAGTACTTTACAAATATTATCTCCTTCAACCTCACAAGAGCCCTGGGAGGTAGGTATTATTATTATTATTATCCCAATTTTACTCATGAGGAAACTGAGGCAAACAGATTAAATAACTTGCCCAGAGTCATATAGCTAGGGTCTGAGACAAGATTTAATAATAATAATAACTAACATTTTTATAGTAATTAGTATGTGCCAGGCGCTGTACTAAGCACTTTACAAATATTATCTCATTTGAACCTCACAACAACCCTGGGAGGTAGGTGTTATTATTATCCTCATTTTACAGATAAGGAAACTGAGGCAAACAGATTCAGTGACTTGCCCAGGACCACACAGCCAATAAGTATCTGAGGCCAGATTTAAATTCAAGTCTTCCTGCCTCCAGGCCCAGCACTCTATTCACTGAGCCACCAATTGCCTCAATGATCTGACTGAACACAGAGGCTGCTTCTTAAATGACTCCTCTGTTGCTACCCAGTTATTTCTTGTTAAGATACAGGACAGTTAATTTCTTTTTTTTTTTTGAGACATTGTTTGGTGCTTACCATGCCCAATGCCTTCCATCTTTTCTTGAAATCATTCATGATATCCAGATGTGACACTTTGGAGTCACCTATAAGTCCTCGGCCTCTTTCATTTCTTAATTTTGAGTCATCTTTCCTCCAAAGGTTTTTCACTTTCCTTCACTCTGACCTTCACAATGGAATTACTGAGTACCAAATTTTACCTTGATTTCGTCTGGAGGGGCTTGTCGGTTTCCTGGTGGAATTTCTCTACTTCTTCATCTTCTTCGATAGCTCTTGGCACATAAGTTGTGAGTGTCCTTCTCATGGTAGCCTCTTATTTCTTACACTCATCGTGAATCCTGCAGGATGAGATGACCGAGAGTCTCATGAAATGATGGTTCTTGGTGCCTCGGGGTGCCCAATAAAATCAGTTTCACAACCTGTTTATTTACAACTTCCTCATGTGTCCTGGCTTTATTTCCCTCAATATCATCACTAATGATACAATTCAGTTCCTGCAAGGGAATGTCAACTCACCTGATCATCGACCAAGTCTTACACAGGTATGCCAGCCATTAAATTAATACTTAGAGAGAGCCTCCAAAACCCTCCACAAAAACCAGACTTAGACGCCTCACTGCAGGATGGAGATGAACCCTGAGTTCTTGAAATGTATGCCAGAAAGTAGCAAGTTTTTGTTTTGTTTTTTGCTAGGTAATAGGGTTAAGTGATTCGCCCAGAGTCACACAGCTAATAAGTGTTATGTGTCTGAGGTTGCATTGAACCCAGGTCTTCCTGAATCCAGGGCCGGTGCTCTATCCACTGCGCAACCCAGCTGCCCTGAGAAAGTAGCAAGTTCTGACAAGTCCTGCTAAGCTTTGAGTGCCACCTTGATAAGGATGACACTCTGTTGTTTCAGCACCAGCTTAGCCAAGTTCAGAGAAGTTCTTCACCTGTGGGTCAGCTACTACTAGGCAATGAATTCTTTGGCCATGATAAGACATGAAATGAAAATTATAAAAGGGCCCTCGATCCTGCACGCATTCTTGCAGTTTGGGTGGTAGAGGCCTGGGGAAATGGACAGAGAAGGCTAAGGTTAACACACTTTTATACCAGCTCTAATTTTCATGAGAGGCGATGTGGTCCAAAGGAGCAGGCCTTGGAGTCAGGAAGATCCAGGTTCAAGCTCTGCCTCTGCCATTTACTGGCTGAGTGACCCTGGATGAGTCACTTAACCTCCCAATGGCCCCAGACAACTCTATAAGGCTAGATGTTGCAAAAGAAGATACAAACTTGTATTGGTAGAGAAACTTCCTCCTCTCAGGGGCTTATATCCTTACGAAATTGCAGATCCTGAAAAAAAAATTTTAAATAAACTTTCCCATGGACAGTCTTCCAGTCCCTAAAGACAATGGTCAAATCCTCCGGTAAGGACTCCCTAAGTCTTCTCTTTTCCAGGCCCAGCGTCTTCAGTCTCTCATAGGACATGATTTTGAGCTCACTGGCCATTCTGGTTGTCTTCCCCTGAACGCTGCCCTTAGAACGTGCACCTCCAACTAAGCATAAACAGCCAGATGGGGTCCAAATAGCACAGAACATAGTTGATTAATAACTCCCTTGATCCAGACATTCCATTTCTATTCATTCAGTTTAAGATTATGTATGTATTTAGCAGTCATGCTCCACTGATCCAATTACGCCTGTGGTCTCTTCAAACCCACACATCTTTTCCTCATAAACTATGACCAAGCCAGGTCTTATCCATCCTGAATTTGGCCGTAATTGATTTTCTTCAAAATAAATGCAGAATCTTACACTGATCTCTGTTTACATTTCATCTTGCTGATCCTGGCCCATCCTTCCAGCTTTCAAGATCCCTTTGAATACTTGGACTCAGGAAGAACTGAATTCAAATCCAGCCCAAATACTTACTAGCTGTTTGGTCCTGGGCAAGTTACAATCTCTGCTTCAGTTTCCTCATCTGTAAAATGGGAGTGATAATAGCACCTACCTCACAGGGTCTTTCTGAGGATCAAATGAAATAATATTTGTGAAGTGCTTAGCACAGGACCTGGCACACAGTAGACACATAATATATGCTTAGTCTCCCACCCTTCCCATGCCTGGGATTCCATCATCCATTTTATTTTAATTCATTCCAAGTCAAATCAGAAAATAATAATAACAGCTAAAATGCCTTCATTTGATCCTCATAATAACCCTGGGAGGTAGGTACTATTATTAATGCATTTTGTTGTTATTCAGTCATGTCCAGATGAGGCTCTACTACATACAAAGCTGCTGAAGTCTGAAATTCAATAAGTACTCATGACCTGGGTTTCCTCCATCAGACTGGCAGTACCCTAAGGGCGTGGACTTTTTTGCTCTCTCAGAGACCTGGAATTCCTCCCTACTTCTTTATCCTGCCCCTCCACCCACCCTGAGCACACGGCTCCAAACCCATTGTTGGCACTGTTGTTCACTCTGTGTCCAACTCTTCATGCCCCCAGTTGGGGTTTTCTTGGAAAAGACACTGGAGTAGTTGGCCATTTCCTTCTCCAGCTCATTTTACAGATGAGGAAACTGAGGCAAACAGGGTTGAGTGACTTACCCAGAGGCACATAGCTAGTAAGACTCATGAAGGGGAGTCTTACTGATTCTAAGCCCAGAATTCTCTCCACTGCACTACCTAGTTGCCCTAATAGAAGGCCTTAGGCTCATAAACTTAGAGTTGGACAGGAGTATTATATAAATTTTAGCAATTATTACCATTAGTGAATAGAGTGCTGGCCCAGATTTAGGAAAACCTAAGTTTAAATCTTTCCTTGGACACATATTTGGCTATGTGACCTTAGGCAAGTCCACTGACTTCAGTCTTAGATTCCTTACCCATAAATTGGGTATTTCATATATATATACATATATATATATACACACACACACATATATATATATATATACACACACACATATACATATATATGTGTGTGTGTCTGTGTGTCTATGTGCATGTGTGTATGTATACATACACATATGTATATGTATATATGTGTATGTATATATACACATATGTATATGTATGTATATATACACATATATAGCATATGTAATTATATGCATACATATGCATGTATAGTGTTTTGTCAAGCTGAAAGCTCTCTATAAATGCTAGTCACTATTATCTGTAAAACAAGGGACTGGGATAATAGCAGCTAGCATTTAAAGAGCACTTGCAGATTGACAACACACACTTTAAGGTTTCAAAGTAGTTTACATATATTATCTCATTTGACTTCCCAATAAACAACTCCATAAGGTAGGTGCTGTTATTATCCCCATTTTATAGAAGGGGGAACTGAGGCTGAGAGAGGTAATTCTCCCAGGACATCACTAGTAAATGTCTGAGAATTGATTCACACTCAGGTCTTCCTGTCTCTAAGTCAGGATTCTATCCACTGTGCCATCCAGCTTTCTCAAGGAAGAGGCTTTTCCGAAGGTAATATGGGTAGTCCTCGGTGAAGCAGATATTTGAACCCAGGTCCACTGATTCCAAATGCAGTTCAAGAGCCCTTGTACCACGTTGCTGCTGTCTACCTGAACAGCTGGGCCCACTCTGGGGTAAGAGTGGGAGTATTTGAACTCTGACAGTGTGGAGTCAGGCAGCCCTGGAGGCTAACAAGAGGGTGGGGGCCCTTTATGAGGTGGCTGGCTGGAGCCTCTTCCCCTTGGGGACTTCTATCTCTGGCTAAACAACCCTGCTGGCTAGATAAGACTGCCAAGCTTTGAAGAGTATCCTTCCTGCAGGAGGCTCCTATCTCTGGGAGCCCTGGCCAGGGTCTGCCTGAGCTTCCCTCTGACAGCAGCTCCCTCCCTCCTCCGCCTCCTCACCAAACAAGATTCCCAGTGACCCTGGTGACCGCAGATAAACCCTAGAGCCTGGGTCCAAGAGAGCTTCTCCTTCCCAGGCCTCGGAGGTGGAAATCCCTGGTTGGCTGAGGTTTGGGATGGAGCCCAAACCGGCCCTAGCACAGACCTCAGGCAGGAAGCAAGGTTGGGAGGCCTGGTCTAGCTTGTCTCCAGAGATTAAACCCGTCCCCTACCTCTCCCCCGGGTAGACTGCAGACTCAAAGGGAACTAACTGAAGGTGGAAACAGGCTTTTAATAAATAATACAAACCAACTTGGTGAAGTGTAAAGATCAATGGACCAGGAGGCAGAAGACCAGGATCTTGTCTCAGTTTCGCCACTACTGAACGATGGGATTTCAGATGAGTCACTTTTACCTCAGTTTCCTCCTCTGCAAAATGGAGATAATAAAATTTGCACGACCTACCTCACAGGACTAGTGTCAGGATAGCGCTTAAAAGGCTCTAAAGGAATGCTTTTTATTATTTAATGTGTTTCTGTTATCTATTGTCAGCTCTCAGAAAGCAAACAAGGCAGGGGTCAGCAGGCCTTGCATCAGGGCTTTGGATGAGCTGATCACAAGAGCATAGATCATAAATCTTGGACTAGAAGGAACCTTACAGTCATACAATCCTCCTTATTTTACAGATGAGGGAACCGTGGGGGGCACAGAGAAAGTACCTTCCCAAAATCACATTAGTGTTAGAGGTGGGGAATCGTATTGAAGCAAACCTGCCTTAATCTCTGCACACACACTACAAGGCAAGCTGTGAGCCCCACTCCTCTGGTGGACTCAGTGAGTTCATCTGTCCAGGTATAATACAAGTCCTTCTGAATAATGAATACCACGCCAAACCTCTCCTGTATGGGGAATGGTGTAACTTATATCAACGTTGTTAATACTTATATTCTAAAATTCAACTTCTTAAAGTTTTCTCCTACCCTGACTAAGCTATCATGCAATTCTTCTCTGATTATTATTATTGTTGGTATTGTTACCAATAACAGTCCCTTCCTTTGTGAATAGCATGGTTAACTTTTCCCAAAGCAATTTTAGATCCGTTATTACTTTATGCTAAGACACAGAGTAGAAAGTATTCTTCAGTTCACAAGAAAAGAAAATTGGGCCTAGAAAAGTCAGCTGACTCACTCAAGGTCACACAGCTTGTTAGTGGCAGCAGTGAGCCTAAGACTCAGGGCCTCTGACTTCTAGCTCTGAGCTCTTTCCAGGAAACCACACACAAACCCAGTTCCTTTGTCTTTCTTAAACCTGGACAGCCTGGCTGGTAATTCTGACCCACCTGGAAAAACACCATGCCTACGTCCCTTTCCCTTCTCCCCTACCAAAAGCAAGCAAACAAAAACCCCACCCGTCTTCCGATCGTACTTCCATTCAGAACTAAAGGGAAGTTGCGGTAGCTTTCTTCAGACGTCAGCACAAGCCATCCCTTCCCCAAGATGAGCCGACATTCATCTGTTAGGGATGGGGGTGGAGAGGTGCTGGGTCCCTCAGATAACTCAGCTGTGTTTAACTCTGTCTGCTGTTCAGGCCCCAGCAAGGCTGGGAGCAGGAGGGTCGGATGTGATCCAACCCTGAGTGGCAGACATAGAGGCAGCACCCTCTTCCCCTATTCATGCAGTGAGGCGCCTAACTCGGACCAGCCTCATCAGATCAAGACCAGAAGTTGGGGATGGGGGGGGGGGGCTCAGGGTTTTACTTATCACAGAGAGGAGGCCAAAGCAGCTCTAGAAAGAGAAGGGTTAATCCCTCTATTCTCTGCCCTGGACAGACCACATATGGAGTATTAAATTCAAAGCTCTGGGCCCCACATTTTAGGACAGACATCGATTAGCTGGTGAGTAACGCAGAGGACAGCAGCCAGAATGGTGAAGGACCTTGAGGCCATACTATAGGAAGATCGCTTGAAGGAATTAGGGTTTTTTAGTCTGGAGAAGAGAAGACATGGGGAGGATATAAGGAACTGTCTTCAAGTGTTTGCAGGGTTATCATATAAAAGAGGGATTAGATTTGGTCTGTGTGGGCTCAGAGCCAAGAATTCAGACCAATAGGTGGTGGTTTCCCAGAGGCCAATTTATCCCTGAGGTCAGGAAAAGCTTCCTGGGATGTGGAATGGGCTGCCTGGGGAGGGAGCAGGTTCCTTCTCCTTGACTGTCTTTAAGTAGAAGCGGGACCATTACTTGTCAGACATGTTATAGTGGTGACCCATTTTAGGTATGGGTTGGACTAAATGGACCTGAGGTCTATTCCAATTTTTAAACTCTGTAGGTGCTGAATCCTGGCCATGGTGACGCAAACACTGAGGGTCACCACGGACAGAGTATGCATCTGTCCTGAGCTGGACCTGACTCAGGGCACTCCCTGGTTTAAGTTCAACACTAAAACAAAATGGAGCCTCATTGGGTGTTCAACAGTTAACAAACGGAGATTCACTTAGCCATGGTAGTGGCTATCTCAAACATATCACAATAAGGATATGAATTGAGGATATCTTCGGTTAAATCAGCCAAGCTAAGCTCTCTTGCCTCTAAATTGTCCATGTGGTCTATCAGCCAAGCATCAGAGCCCACTGGGAGTTCCTAGCAGCAATTTTCAACAGATGATTAAGAAATAACGTCAATAGCCCTGAACCTTTAGTCCCTTGAGCCAACTAAATTGAGAGAATGGTTTCAATACCTTTTTTTTAAATAAGCATTTTTTTTTATCTTATTTTGTGTGTGTGTGTGTGTGTGTGAGGCAATTGGGGTTAAGTGACTTGCCCAGGGTCACACAGCTAGTATCAAGTGTCTGATCTGAGACCGGATTTGAACCAAGGTCCTCATGACTCCAGGGCCAGTGCTCTATCCACTGTGCCATCTAGCTGTTCTGTTTCAATACCTTTTAAGGAAAAATTATCCTAACTTACATTGGGGTGAAGAAATTAGGATATTGATCCCACCACAGCATCTTGGTTTCTAAAGCTTCCAGTGGGTGGGTGTCTGTGAATGATGGTGCAGGGCTGGGATTGGGTGCTCAAGTATCTATTTGAGTGTGTCTGACTGACCCTTCTTCATTTCACTTGCTACATCATCATCTGTGTCATGACCCCTAAAAATGGCTGGCCCCCAAGGCTCTGTCCTTTATTTTCCTTTTGCCTTTTTAAGTTCAATTTTACTCTTTAGATAACTACAGCTATAATAATACATGGTTTGAAATGAACATCCTTTGTCACTTTATTCAAATCAAGATATAGTACATTAGAAAAATTATATTATACAATTGTTATATTAGATAAAGGGGTTGGGTTGGGTTTTTATTTATTTATTGCCATTTCTTCAAGGGAGTGACTTTTTATTACTTCTTTGATGAACTGCTCAAGTGAAATGAAATAACTTTGGCACCGCCATGTGTCATTATGAGTTCCATCTGGAAAAATTACTAATCTTTTAGTAGGAGACAAGGATAGTTCATAAAGCTGCTTCATCATTACTGTTGGAATTAACTTGTCAGATAGCCTAAAGATGAAAAGAGAAAGGCATCCTGCATTGAGAGAAATTTTTTTATGTAGGAGAGGAATTTATTTTTGGAGCACCACAAAGTAAGATATCACATTGGAAAGAAAGAAAGAAAATAAAGTTGTGGCCATATATGGGATATTTAGAAACATGTTCTCCATCGCAATGGCTGGAATCCTATGGGAATTTTCAGAAACTGAGTGAACAGCCATTGCTTCCCCAAAAGAATGGCCAAAAAGAAAATTTCTGCTTGATCAAGGTCAGGTCTGGGCATCCAGCTTCAAAATCTAAGCAAGGTCCTTCTTCATTTACCTCCTCTTCACTTTTTCCCAGAACCTCTATAATCAATAGGTGAAAGGCTGACTTTCAGGTTAACTATAAGCAAAGTATTTGGCAACCTGTGACTAACATTGCCCGTGTTTCCGTGCAAGTAAGTGATAGTTGGGGAATACATTGAGTCATTTCCAGTGTATCTCAGAAAAATAAGATTGAGAAGCACTCCATCTTTGGTTCTGATGAAAATGGTTTCACATGGAATATCAGTGGTTATATTGCTGTTATTCAGTCATTTTTCAGTTGTGTCTGACTCTTCATGACCCCATTTAGGTTTTCCTTGGCAAAGGTACTAGAATAGTTTGCCATTTCATTCTCCAGCTCATTTTACAGATGAAGAACCAAACAGGGTTAAGTGACTTGCCCAGGGTCACACAGTTAGTAAATGTCTGAGACCAGATTTGAACTCAGGTGGGAATAGAAACATGTAAGGCACAGGGGTGGGGAGGGCTTGATGGTAGCTGTTCTGAAAAATAAAGCAATATATTATTGACTTTATGTGGGATACCTACTATCAACATAGAGGTTAACAGAGGTAAGATAATAATGCCCTTGCACAAATGGCAAGTTATTATTAAAGGTAAAAGAGAAAAATGGTAGAGAGTTCAAGACCATGAAGCTAAGACATCTTTCAACAAGCTCCACATGACCCATGACTTTTCCGCTGTAGCTCTCCTTGAACTATTATTCTACATGTATTTTATTCATAGATGCAGGGTTATTTTTTGGTGAATGGAGCAAGGATTGCTTTCCCAACATGCTTCCCAGCCTATGAGATGGCCAGACACATTAAGCCAGAAATCATCCTTCTGTATACCTCTTTATCCTCTTCAAGTTGATTGGCTGCCACACCAGAGCTCCCACGTCCTGTCCTAGGCCCTCTTCTTTCCTCTCTACACTCTCTCGGTGAGATCCTCCACTCCCACAGGTACAATTATTATCTCTATCCTCTTGACTCCCAGATCCATATTTCCAACCCTTGTCTCTCTCCTGTGCTCCAGTCTGCACCAAAAACTACTGGCTGAATGTCTTCTCTTGAATATTCTGCAGACATATCAAATTTAACATGTTCAAAACAGAATTAAATTTCATAAAGCAAGAAGTCTCCTCCTCTTTGAAGCCTTCTCTGATTCCTCCCAATCATTAATGTTCTTTCTCTCTTCAAATAACCTGAATATATTTCTGGCATATCCCCCAGTAGGACGTAAGTTCCTTGAAGTCAGGAACTATGTCATCCCCATCTTTGTAACCCCATCATCCAGCACTGTGCCTGGTATATAGTAGTGGCTTAATGTTTGTGGCCCATCAATTTGGGGAATGGCTAAACAGATCATGGAACATGAATATAATGGAATATTACCTTACTATAAGAAACAATGAATGTGATGAATATAGAGAAACATGGAAAGATTTACGTGAACTGATGCAAAATGAAACAAGCAGAACCAGGAAAACAAGATACACAATAACTAAAATAACATCAATGGAAAGAACAACCACAAAACATTCTAAAATAAATATTGCAAAATTATAAAATACAAGTTTGGCCCCATGAAGACAAATGGAAAGACACCTCCTCCCATTCTCTTGCAAAAGATGTGTGTATGAGTGGAGGGCTGTACAAGTATGTTGAACACCGCAAATATAATTTTTTAATATGTGAATTAGTTTTGCAGATATTTTTCTCTTCCTTTTTATTAAGAAAAATTCTTTGCCATAAGGAATAGGTCTCTAGGAATGGGAAAAGGAGAGATAAATGGATAAATCCAGGTGATAAGACAAAAGATTTAAATATAAATTTGTTGTCAAAAATGTTTGTAAAATTAAATTGAGTTGAATCATTACCCATGTGCCTTCATGTCTGCATACATATCTAATCATATATGCCTCTGAAATCCTTTATCTGGGTTGTGTGTATGTATGTATGTATATATGTATGTTCCTACATTCATGTCTCTATATGTGTCCACTCTACACGGTGATGGATGTTGGAATTCTCTGGTTTCACATGTTGATTTGTGCACTTGGGTACCTGGATATGCATGTGTTTCCAAATGAATGCCTAGGAGCATTCACGCATTTGTGTCAGAGTATATGTATCTGTATGTATACATACATATCTGTGTATTTATGGATGCAATGTTTGTGCACTTGTGTGTCTGGGTGTGTCTGTGGGTCTCAGCACATATCTGAGTATGTATGACAGAGGCTCGTCCATTTTTTAACTCAACTATAATAAACATTTGCATTTATTCAAGCTCTAGATTTGGAAGCTAGAGAGAAGAGAGCACTGCACTTTCACCAACCCCAGCAGGGCAAACAGAAGCTTAAGACACTGAGGTGATGTTCTGGGGTTGGAGAAAGTGCCACCTAAAAACCCCCTTCCTCCCTTCCACGGACCCCTCCACCACCACCCTGTTAATCTCCATCACACGTTGACTGCCTCTGGACTGGTACTACCCCTGGGCCTACAGTCCAATTCCTCTCTACATCTGTGTGACAGATGTGACCCATACTCAGCCCGACGATAGG